TATTGCGGAAAAACCCGATTATCAAATTGCAGGTTTCTTGAATTCCCCGAAATGGTGATTAGGAGGTCGTTTAACTCAATTTACCTGATGTACAACTTACCGTGCTGGAGTTAAATTAGTATAGTCCGCGGCGCAAAGCGCAGTGCGCACCTGCAATTCACGTGCGGAACAACCTGCTCCCAGCGGCCGCGGAAGCAACTTCAACTTCATTTTTTTCACTTTACGCTTCTAAAGATTTCCTTCTCTGCCGATCCTATTTCCTCACCCCAAAAAACTCTATAACTACCGTTTTTGCAGGACCAAATTCCGGGCTAGGAGTATATAAGTGGGCCTACATAAGCTACTTTTGCCGAATTTGCTTCTCGCGGCCACTAGGAGTAAGATATTCCGTATGTAAATTGAATGTGTAAGTGGCGCTTCGTGCGGCGGACTACACTAATCTAACTCCAGAATGGTAAGTTGAAGTAGACGGCCTCCTAACCACCACTTCTATTTTTTCAGGAATTTGAGAACCTGTTTCTTCATAATCGGATTTTTCTGCAATACGTTAAACGATTATACCAGGTTAGAAAAATCTACAGACATAAATAAGCAACATTTCTAAATACAGCAAAAGAATATGTATGTTGTTCTAAATAAAGTATATTCACTTGCCCATTCTAATTCCCTACCCATAAAACCCCTATAACCACCGTTTCCATAGGACAAAGTGTTGGAACTAGGGGTAAATGAGGTGTACTACTTAAATTACTGTTGCCAGTTTATGCAAACTGCAAGTATTGTTGTTCATCTATAGCATTTCCATTGCCCATTATAAACACTGTAAGGTGCTCATGAATACATTGAAAGGCAGTTTGAGTAGTAACGCATCCAGTGCTGCATGACAGTGCATCGTCTCTAAGTATTAGGCAGATTTCGTCCGAACATATTAGTGTTCCTTTGTTTGAACTTTCACTCTTCGGTAGCAGGGGAGCCTATTGAAGGGAACATTTTTTTTAAAAAAAAGCGATTTGTACAAAGACATGAAAAGCTTACGCTAGAAAAGGAGATAAATCTTAAAATTCCTTAGTCAGTTGAAATTTTTCTCACCGCGGTTTTGACTTTAAGAATCCGTGTAGCATTGGAAAGTCAAGCGTACCCTCATTTTACTGACTTGTACAAAGCGGCTTCTGTAAGGTGTTCCTTGACCTGACTAAACTGAACCATTGGGGATGAATGTTCTAAAATGTGCTGCTGCCTTTGTATGATAATCGGTTGTTGGCCAATTTTTAGCAATACTGACAATATGTCCGGTTCAAATACCAACCTTACTGGCAAAAAAGTTACATTTGCACAGGCTCACATCTCAAAAGAGTGAAACAAACGCCCAATAAACTTCACTGATCTATCAAACGTCAAATAACGTCTTCTGAACAATTCCTTCATATAGGATTAAGTTCCATCCACTACTATCCAGCCGGTAATTATTGTCTAACAGGACTCTGTTAAGATGCTAAAAACGCATTTGCCACGCCAGGGGGTGCGGGAACTGAAGTAGACACAGTAGTATAGATATATTTGTTATACGGAAATAATGACTATGTTTACGGGTGGTGTAAGAGGAGATAAAGAGAATAAACAATTAAATTCTGGTTGATTACTTTACTAATTTATGTTTGTAGGATGCAAAATACAAGTATTTTTCTTCATCTGTAGCATCTTAGTTCCCCATGCTAAACACTCTACGTTGAGCACGAATACGTCGAAAGGTGGTTTGGGCCACAATTTAAGTTTTAACGCATCCGGTGATGTATGATACTGCATCGTCAATATTATTCATGTTAGTTTCTGGATAGTAGGCGAATTTTATCCGAACATCTTGTCATGCGTTTGTTGAACTTCCATTCTTTACTTGCAGTGAAAGTGAAATATTTTCAAAAAATACAAAACACAGATGTCCAAACAATGGACCGCACGAAGAGCTTACACTAATAAATTAGTTGAATCTTAAAATTCCTTGTATTAATACAAAGCGGCTTCTATTGGGTGTCCTTTGGCCAGAATAATTAACACCCGCCGAAACATTGGGGGCGAATGTTGTAAAATTTGGCGTCACCTTTGCATGATAATCGGTCATAGGCCAAGTTTTAAGCAATCCTGACAATGTTTTGGCCTTAAATACGGACTTTCACTCGTAAGAGTGAAACAAACGCACACTAATCATCACTTATCTATCAAACGTCAAATAACTTCTTCCGAGCAATTCCCTCATATAGGATTATGTTCTGTCCACTACTACCCTGCGAGTCATTATTGTCTAAGAAAACTCTCTTGAAACGCTGAAAACGCACCCCCATTCATTTGTCACGACAAGGGGTGCGGGGAACCGAATTAGGTACAGTAGTATAGAGATATATTTGTTATACGGAAATACTGACTATGTTTACAGGTGTGGTAAGAGGAAATAAAGAAAATAAACAATTAAATTCTGGTTGCTTACTTTAAAAATTATATTTGTAGGATGCAGAATACAAGTATTTTTCTTCATCTACAGCATCTTAGTTTCTCATGGTAAAAACTTTAAGGTGAGCATGAAAATATCAAATGCAGTTTGGGCCACATTTGAAGTCGTAACGCATCTGATGATGTATGACACTGTATTGTCAATATTATTCATGTTAATTTCTGGATATTAGGTAAAGTTCATCCGAAAATATTGTTGTGCCTATGCTGAATTTCCCCTCTTCAGTAGCAGTGAAAGTGAAATAGTTTCAAAAATACAACACTCAGATGTACAAGCAACGGGCCGCATGAAGAGCTTGCATTAATTACTTAGATGCATCTTAAACATCCTCAGGAATTTGACAAGTTCCTGTACGTAGTTTAGACTTTCAGAATCTATGTGGTGTCGGGAAGCCCATTGTATGTTCATCATGCGGTGTATTAATACAAAGCGGCTTCTATAAGGTGTCCTTTGGCCGATATAAATGACAACCGCCAAAACATTAGGGACTAATGTTGTAAAACTTGGCGGTAGCTTTGTGTGATACTCGGTCATCGGCCCAGTTTTAAGCAATCCTGACAATGTGTCGGCCTCAAATACCGACCTTCACTCGTAAGACTGAAATAAAAGAACACTAACCACCACTGATCTATCAAACGTCAAATAACGTCTTCTGAGCAATTCCTTCATATTGGATAAAGTTCCATCCACTACTATCTAGCGGGTCATTATTTTCTAACAAAACTCTGCTAAGACCCCCATTCATTTGCCACGACAAGGGGAACGGAAAACTGAAGTAGGTACAGAAGTATAGATATATATATTTGTTATATGGAAATAATGACTATGTTTACAGGTGTTGTAAGAGGAAGTAAAGAGAATAAACAAGTAAATTCTGGTTGCTTACGCGGGTGGGTGGCTGGGTGGGGGTGATTTGAAAATGGCGGTCTTGCGGTTTTTGTGCTTCGTCTCTCCTCAGGGCGCGCGCGCACGTCAGGAGAGGAGAGAATGAAAGAGTCCAATAGAA